GCAAACAGCTATGGCGAAATGACAAACCCTGCGGATACTTCCTCTCACACACACAAAACATTTAGAGCTTTGTAGTACAAACGCCAACAGAACTAGCCTAATGGTAATTTAGTGTTATAACGGTGATGTTTATTAACGGGTGATGATCGGGCGAGGTTATTCACCTGTCCCGCCGCAGTGCAAGGGTGCGCCTTCACCCAGAACCCGTGTTCCCCGCCGGTCACCAACGGTGGAACGGCCCTGCACCTCCGCGTGCGGTCATTAACGAGGTGAAAGCCGCAACGGCCGACGGAGAGGGCGGAGGTCACCGCCCCTCCCCTCCCTCCATTCATTCGTCGGGCCCGGACAGGTGCAGCGCGCCGCCGCCGGCCGGCGGGGGCAGCACCTGTTGCAGCTCCGGCGGCGGCAGAGCGCGCCGGAAACGCTCCCGGAAGCGGCCACTCGGCCCGTCACGAGATGCCCCCGGGCGGCCAGGTGATCACGCCGCCGCGGGCCGTGTTCAAATTTAAGTGGCGCCGCCGCGGTAACGTCCACCCCTGCCGGCGGTAGCGCGCCGCGGTGGCGGCGGGTCAGCAGGGCGGGGAGCACGACGGCGCCAGCGCCGACGCCGGCGGTAGCACAGGCAGGTGTCCCGCGCACGAGGCGCCGCGAGAGCGGGTGTCCGTTGCAGAGGTGGAGCCTCAGGCAATTTATTGAGGTAGGGTTAAACCGGAAGAGATGTTAAACAAATGGACTGCTGGGCTTTAACGTTTTTAGAGTTATGGGATGGTCCGATGCTTCTAACAGAAGTCGATCATCGGGTATGGGAAATACGGGACGGGGGGGGGGGGGATGGCATAGGAGCCATGTCCCAACTGAGGGCGATACGAAACAAAGCAAGGCTGTACCCAGGCCTCACAGCGTGTCTGAAATCGGGCTGATGTTTCTAGCTGGCGTTCATTCCCGCTCCAGATGATCACAAAATAAATCAACAAAGAGAAACAAACCCGTCGCGTGCGGTCGTCATGTGGACATGACGATCGGCATCGCGGACAAAGGGGAGGGGGGGGGGGGAGGGCTCCAAACTGTCGCCGGCGGGACAGTGCAACAGTGGGGAGAAGGGCAGCGGGCTGTGACCTGAAGACGTGGCAACTGATGACACATTACGGAACTACGCACGTATCGACCAAACTGCAAATAAAGAGGCCTTCCTAACAGCTGACGCATAGGGGCTTAGGGTCAGGGCGCACTGAAGAGGAGCCTTCGATATGTAATGACCTTGAGCTGAATGACCCCGGTGATTCACAACGCAAGCGTGAGTCACTGGATTATATCATGTTGCGAGCCAGAGAAGGCCGATACGCTCTTCGTAGCACGTAGTCGGACTTCAGTGTACAACGTTGGAAGTACATACATGCGACGTCAACGCACAGAGGCCCAAAAACATGTGACGGTGTTGTTCTCCGCCGTTAGTTGACTGAAGGAAATGAAACGCGGGGAGCGCTACCGCTCTGGCGCCTAATGACCATTGCAGCGCATTAAAGAAGGTGCTTCACATTTATATGGTGTTTTGAACTGAAATAACCATGTTGAAGGCCTTTCGGTGCTGTTTCGGTACCCTTCTTAAGACCTAAGCCCCTATAGTTTTAGAGCTGCCTTCCCGCCAATTATAGAGAGGTATATTGAGGAGAGTGTTTAAAGATCACCTTGGAATTCATGACGTCATAATAACATCATCCAAATCCCAAAATTTCTCAAGCCATGCAGCAATCAACACAAAGAATATAGCTGTCGAGGCGCTCACATCTGGCGTTTGTAAGCGTGATTTCCAGATGTGACGCCCGTCAACTGGCTCTCAATCAATGTTGTGCTAGGTACATGACCTAATCAAACCATAACGCATTGAAGAGCACATTTGCTTAACAGAAACTTGTGCTGTGCATAGCGGTCTTCTCCACTTAAAAAGTATACCAATAGTTACAAGTGAGCATATACTTGCTTGCGAGCATCTAATGCTTGCTTCAATATCTTTAAATGTCAAACTCTCCCATTTGTTGTCGATCCGAATTGGGTTAACATGCCACAAAGGGATTTAGAGGGATTGCGTAGCCTTAGTGTACAACAACCTTGTGATTATTTTAGGTTTGCGATCCGAACTGGGTTAACATGCCACAAAGGGACTTAGAGGGATTGGGTAGCCTTAGTGTACAACAGCCTTGTGGTTATTTTAGGTTTGTATTGCTAAACATCGTGATGTTCACTTCATGGGCCATGAGTGTTAATCGTCTTGAAAACATCTTTGCGGGTGAATTATGTTATGCTGGGTCAAAAGGCCGTGTCCTTGTACTGTTGTAAAGAGTACAAGCAAAACATCCGATAATGGAATACATCCAGTCGCGACGCCTGTGTAACGGAACTGTGACAGAAATTATGGAAATGTCAAGGCAACTCAACGGCGGCATAGATGTCAAGGAGGCGTTTGTGGTCCAGACCATTAAGCTTGAACACCGTCCTACAAATATCCACCGGTTGCTGCGAATATGTACGAGAAGGGCAGGAAGAGCCTTTGTTGTTTTCGCGCACCATCGGAAACTCTCTGGGTCATAATTTTCTCATATTCAGTGTCACAAACTTTTCCTGTTTAGCAAAGATATACGAAGCATTGAGTGACACTCCATATGTGCACGGTCTTGTGTGTCTTAAACTATCCACGTCAAACTAGAACTAGTATAACCAAACCTAACTTGAACTAGCTTAACTTAAACTAACTTAAACTTAGTCAAACTTAAACTAGTCAAAAAACGTGACCTGGTCTAGGGCGTCTTAAACTAGTCACGTGACCAATGTAGATGGCAAGGTGATTTCCACCAGATGTAGTTTGGTTTCTAGCAGGATCGATGGAATTCAGTGATCCAGGACAGGCACGACTACCCCGATCCCACCGTTGCGTCATCACGTAACGGGCCGCTGCGATTTCGCGCCGCTGATGAACACCGCTAGCACTGTCATTGGTGCGCATGTGCTCTAGGATAGCATCTTAGATCATCAAGAATACGTTCGTTGACCACAAAGATATGAAAGAGTGACATTAAATGTTATGTACTTGAATGCGCATAGAACGTTTAACAAAATATGGAGACATAAAGAGATAAACGGGATAGAGGTAATCACTTCTTGATGCTTAAACAATGTTCGACCCGCCCGCACCAAAACCGCCCCTGATCACGTCATTGCATAGATACGCCTCCGCAAATAATATACTTGCGTTCATTCGGAGACGTCACGAAAAATCAAACAAAAATAATACGATTACTGCCCTCAGGTATCAAAGATGCAAGGCGATTCCATCATCCGACTATGCTTTCTTCGGAACATGAACGTTATTACACACGACAGTAATTCATGTTTGGCGCAGTAATACACGTTTGTTTATTTGACGCTGAACTGTAATGCACCATTTGACAACATACCATGAAGTGCGAAGCGAACCGAAACGTGCCGGAACTGCAGACAATAACATGATGACGGTGCGATCACCAGGTAGATGATCTCAATAACACGAATCATCGTGGAGAGAAAGACAAATCACCATGCGCCGAAATGGTATCATCGAAAAAAACGTATCACAAAGGAAACCAAAATAGGTTTTAAAGAAATGTTTGCGCATATTGCTGTGAGGGCAGCAGCACGCAGTAATGCCGTTGCTTGGCGGGTCGACCATTCTACAAAGCTCACCTGCACACAAGGCAAATTGAAGTGCTCGACGAAGTCTATGTGCCAGAAAAGACGATCAGTGCTGCTCCGATGAAAATTCATCTAAGAAAGCGCCCAAAAAGCGCGACAATAAGCTTTGTCGTTCGCGTGACTGCACATGACTGCTCAGACTGCATGGTGCACGTTATAAATTTGTTACCCACGATGGCTAGTGGTGTCTCCAACATGTCGTTCGAACAGACTTACACCATAATCAAGTGCTCAAACTTCTGTCTCCACAGCATCCCACACGCTTAATTCTCAAACCAGAGACTATCAGGGAGCTCAGTCGATCCAACAGTGAACAAAGCGGCACCAATGCCCACGGAATACACGAAACCAAACTGGTGGCAACGCTTTGGGAGCAGCGCTTTTAGGTTTGATCGTTGGTGCTACAGATGCGTAATTTGGGATGCAATGGCAAAATAGACGTGTCATTTCCATCACCATCCATCGATGGGTCGTTCCATTGGAGTCGAGCAGACGGAACAGCGAACTCGTCCGTGCAATGGACATCAAGGGGATTACGCCAGCGAAAACGCAATCCAATGGTATGGCGCAGCGCTGAAGTCAACGAGAGAGGGCGTTGACACTCACGATAAGCCCCTGATTCGACAGGGAGTGGCAACCTTCACACCCTGTCCAGATCTTGACAAACGAGTCGCTGAGCGGCGGGGACATGGCGACCTCTAGTACCACGCGTGGGGATAACGATGTGCCGTCTGCGCCTGGGACCAGCGTCATCTGCCCCACCCCTCCCCTGCCCCGCCTGCAGCAGGGCGGGGGGGGGAGGGGGGACAGCCTGCACACGGCCGCATTTCTGGCCGGCTTTGAGGCCGAACCAGTCGGCGGGGTGTTTCGACGCCCCGTATTTGGCGGGCGCCGGGGAGCGGCCGCTCGGGGCGGACCCCCGCCGGGCGCCGCCCCGGAGACGTCCGTGCCGAGGATCAGAGGCGCCGCCGCCGGGAACTCCGCGCGCCACACAGGGTCACGTGCCGACGCCGCCGGCGCCCGGTTGTACCAGCCCGCGGGACACTTAATTCGGCGGGTTATATTAGGGTGCCTGGGCCGTGTCCGGTTTTGGGATTGGAATGTGTGGATCACCTGCAGCGTCATGTGTTTTTACGTTGCGGTGCTGCGGTGGAGGTCTGCCATCACGCGACAGATTGGCTGTGAAGAATTATGTGACGCACTAACCGCAGTTGTGAGGCGCCAAAACGTCCGACCCCGCGCACAGAGCGGTCTGCGAGATCTCTCCTGACCCTGACCTTTCGCGTGAACTCGCCGCAGCCCTCTCCTCCAGGTGAAGCTCCCGTCGTTCGGCCGCAGACAAGACCGTCCTCGGCCCATTCGGGGTGGCCACACGCCATCTGCGGGACAGACCATGCGGGATTTAGCGCAGCAGAGCAATCGACGACCAGCGAAGAAGCTCAGTTCATGCTCTGTCACGCTGGTATTCAAGCTCAGACTGGAAATTTGTTTCTATGACTGCGGGCACTTCAGGTATCAGCGTTATTGATTTAAGATCGAAAATAAAAAACGCAATTTCTAAGCTAGCTGCTCCGGTGCAGTTTTTAAGAACAAGTAAGTTGTAGAGGAGTCCTGAAGTAAGTCTCGTTATTGCCTGGGCTGTATCTGTACAAAAACATACGAAATTACAAAAGTGAGGACAGGGAACATGAAACCCATTTTCAACGATTTTCCAAATCACTTACTTCCTACGAAACTCCATAGATCTAACGTTCAATTTTGTATGCTGCCACGTTTGAGTGTCATGTCATGTTTGTCAACATGCGCTGACTAGCATTATGTCACAGTATGACATCATTGGGCCACGCCTCGAAGACAAGCAATCTTTCAGTTCGGAAGCATGCTCACCCACGAATGCTCTAATATGCTCTACGATCGTGCGGCTCGATGTAAAGGAAACATATTTTAGTCATACCTATAACACTGAAATTTAAATACACACAAACGCACACACACACACACACACACACACACACACACACACACACACACACACACACACACACACACACACACACACACACACACATACACACACATATATATATATATATACATATATATATATATATATATATATATATATATATATATATATATATATATGTGCCTGATTTCAACGTAATTCCAGTCCGTCCAAGCGTTAGAACGGTCGGATTTCACTCACGCAGAATCCTCCGTGGTTACCGTTGATGCGTAACAAACCAAAAACTGAGCACCGCTCCAGGATAAGCGCATGAGACGAATACGACTGATGTACATCTCCCCCACCCCTTCAAACGATTATCAGCTCCCACCACCCTTATGCCGAGCGGCTCCAGTGGCCTGCGCTTTTTGCCAGCTGCTTTCGCATGCACTTCTGGGATCCTCGGACCCACATTTACATGCTCAGCATTCCCACCACGCTACCCCGATTGCGGTTGCGGCATTTAGTAGCAATACAGGCATATCTGATGAGATCCTTCAGATGTGCAGCAATGCATTCATTTCTGCGGTCGCCTGTGGTGAGAATGATCCAGAAGCTCCCTGTCTGGCATGTTGCTGAAGGAGCCCAGAACAGCATGAAAACCACCACACAGCAGCCATTGTGTGCCCACTGCGGACAGAAGAGCCCCACACCGATCGGAGAAATCCATGAAATATGGATTAGTCTACGCACTGACATGGGCCGCACCAACAACACTGCAAAAAGTTCAGAAAAGGGTGGGATGGGACCTAAAATAGAAGTTTTACACCAGCCGTCCAGGAGATTAATATCAGAAGAAGGTCGTGTGTTCAATGAACACATGAACTTGTGCTGGTGTTCTGATGTTGATGTCCTGTTTCCATCATCACGGTTCATTTACCCCACCCTTCATATTGTTCTGAATTTGGATGAAACGTGATGATTTGCTGCCGATTATCGAGGAAAACTACATTCTTCTGCTGGACGGGTTTAGATTCAGGCTTTGTTGAAAGACACACGTCGGTATGTTCATCGTACTCAACATTGGCGGATGACTTGAAGCAGACCCTGTTGACTCATCTGATGACCTGCCACCTGTGACCTGTCCCATGACCTGACCTGACCTGTCCTGACCTGTCCTGTCCCATGACCTGTCCCATGACCTGACCTGACCTGTCCTGACCTCTCCTGTCCCATGACCTGTCCCATGACCTGTCCCATGACCTGACCTGACCTGACCTGACCTCTCCTGTCCCATGACCTGTCCCATGACCTGTCCCATGACCTGACCTGTCCTGTCCCATGACCTGTCCCATGACCTGTCCCATGACCTGACCTGACCTGACCTGACCTGTCCTGTCCCATGACCTGTCCCATGACCTGTCCCAGCCGGACTGCTTGTTTGCAGAATCATGTGGACGAACACGCGTCGATGTGCTGATAAGGAATGTGCCGACACTGACAAGGACACATGGGCGAAAAGCAAGCGTCCATCATACGCGAGGATTACCACTGAGCTGGGAGCTTGATGTTCTAACCGATTGTGTCTGATTCACTGGCTCCAAAAGCGCAACAGGCTCACACTCTTCGCTGTTCGCCTTAACTGGACCTATCTAATTTCCACATAGCAAGAAATTTAAGCGGGATAGCACGGCTCGCATGACAGGCCAGCGCCGTCACTGAGCGTGGTCGGCCTGTACTCGCGCTGTAGTCACCACATGGTCAGCACCAGATCATCCCAAGTCGGTCGTTCAGGCTTCTGTGCAAAGTGACTGGGGTGTCGCAAGCACTTGGGCTAGATTTGGTGCTTGAGCGCCGCATTACTATGCCTGTTCATGGCAACTCAAGGATGCTCAGGAATCTTCAAGGTAACTCAGCCATTGTCGTGCACTGGTTGGGGTGCCCGCCGACCATTTATTACAGCGACACAACGACCCCAGAGTGGCGCTAATCCGTGCTCTCTCGGCTCCACTCTGGGAGATGTCTGTGACGCGTGCGTCCCCGGACTGTTTGTAAACCTATACATGACTCAGCACCTTTCTAAGGAAATGCACCCGCGGTGATGGTGATGAAGCCTGATTTGATATCGCCGCAGTGATATGGACCTAATCACCATCCCGTCAGTAGCGCTAACGCTGCGGTTGTAAAAGGAGTGCTCACATTTGTATGGGGTTTAAGTGTATGTCCCTTGCTCAATGCTCCTTGTTGTATGTGTTTTAAGTATACATTCATGATATATGGCTCCGTTAATGTAACAATGTCATGGCTCCCTTAATGTAACAATGTCGGCCCGCCGCGTGCACTCCGCGGCATCGTTGGTTGCCGCCCGCTGCCCCGCAACCAGACAAGCTAGTTTCTGGTGTCAAAACATTTGCAATGAATGCTCCATAGGCTACGAAATATGTTATTGCGATTGCACAACATGTCGGAGAGATATCTTCAAAAAAACATTAGAGGGTTGCGTCGACCTCCGCCTATTAGGGTGAGAGTAGGGGAGGATAGCACTTTTGTTTCTGAGCCTAGTCTCCGCGAACATGTGCAGAATATATCAAGGTCAACTATACATTCATGATGCCACACAAACGCCACACAAATACCGGTACCTTGCTGGCAATGCAGTGCTAAAGGCCAAGAAAAAACATGATTATCGAATTATTCGCGTTTGGCGTACGGCGGCGCGATTCATGACATCAGCGGCAATCAGTTAGCCTTCGACCGTTTTGATGCGTTGAGTGCAGTCAAAGGGCACTACTCACGTATTGTACTATACAATACGGGATTTCGGGCGGTGGTATGAGTTATGACGGAATTAAGACTGGAGTTCGATAACTGAAAAATAACGCCATAACAGAGCATTTGGATGCAAGTAAACAATGCAAAATCAAGCACAAATTTGCAGGAACACTACGAGAAAGGGTCGCAGCACGTGCACATGACCATATTGGGGTTTCGCAAACACGCGCCAGCACACACGCCAACTCTCGGCAGGTAAAGCGCCACAAGCGAGTGTCAGCCCGTCTGCCAGAGTTGCAGCTCTGACACAGCCATCTGGAAGCGACTCTGATGTCACACAAACGTTCCATGGCGCTATCCAACGATGTTGTATTGAGGAGTTTATCTACTGCATCGTGAAATTGATGATGGTAGCACTTGTGATATGAATATATTTAAACATGGACAACTCCCTTAAACTCAATTTAACAAGCCTTTTGACGCATGCAGCTTCCGTTTTTGTTGTGGTTGAGACACTTTTGCTGATGAATCGTTTCGTCACATGTTTATGATGGTCCTGGAGTCTCCGTAAGTTTCAGACACAATTGATACCTTAAGTCAATATCAGCGTCAGGGTAAGTTAAAAATTGCCAACTTCGAACTGTGCATTCCGCGTATCGCCGGCACGGCGCAAGCTTAACGCCTCTCGCCAAAAATATTGCATCACTGATCTCCACCACGGCCGGACATGCTGCGCCGCAGTGCACGTCATTTCTCGGTGCCAGCAGTGCCTACGGTCCAGAACACGCCGGGCGGACCCGCGGCAGCGCAGCCAGGCCTTACCCCGTGGCCGTGACGGGGCGGGGCCGGCTCTTCACTCTCAGGGCCGCGGCTCGACCGTCGCCGGCGTAAATGCCGTCAGGTATTCGCGGAGGTCGTCGCGGCGACAAGACGGAGGCCGCGGCCGCCGTCGAGGGCGGCTCCTGTGGTGTGATTGCCCCCCCCCCCCCCCCCTGTCGCACCGCTGGCTGCCGTCACGGGGTCATCAGGCACGGCTCTTGTGTGGAATGCTCAAAGGGGAGGGGGCCCTGCACACCATAGGATGGTTGACACCGACCTGTTGTCGAGAATGCTTCGGTGCAGTCAAGGCGGCTTAAGGCTCTGAAGTGCCGTGATTACATCAAGAGTGTCGCTGCTAGGACTCATTCGGTCGTGGCTATCAGCTCCCGGCCTTATACAGCACCACAAAAGTGCACGATTGCAGACGGAGAGCGCTGTAGACTGGCACGTGTCAGCTAGTCAACGTACCTCTTGCGAGCAGGAACGCACACACAGCCCCATTTCGGCGCCGAGCTTTGGATCGTGTTCCGTCTCTTAGCCTTAGTCAGTCTTAGTTATTCGAGCCTCACGCGCGGTCCTATCGTGCAAAAATGTCTTGCACTTAGGCACCTGCGTCACACCGAGGATTTTTGTCAAGTTCTCAGGTTTCAGGAAATGCGAGCCTGCGAGAAAACTTGCTGGAAAAATGCAGCCCTGGTCTCCAAAACCGGGGGATGATCCCATTGTAAGTTCCTCGGCCACACCTATGCCACCCAAAAAATATACGCGACGAGTCAT